AGTGAATTTTCTTATATTTCTTCGGCGTCTGTGTTTAGTTAGTTTAAATATATGACTTCTTGTTCTTGAAGTTCCAGGTCTCAGGAAATCTTCCCTATCAATTTTATCAATTCCTGTTACTATTTTGTACGTAGTGATCATATCACTCCTTTTTCTTCTGTCTTCTAGTTTTGGCATATTTAATGCCTCTAACCTCTCTTCGTAGCTCTTGCCCTTCAGTTCTGGGAATCACTGAGTAGCATGTCTTTGCACCTTTTCCAGTTTGTTGATGTGCTTCTTAAGATATGGGCACCACACAACTGCTGCATATTCCAGCTTTGGTCTAACAAAAGTCGTGAACAATTTCTTTAGTATTTCTCCATCCATGTATTTAAAAGCAATTCTGAAGTTGGAAAGTGTAGCATAGGCCCCTCGCACAATGTTTTTCATGTGATCCTCAGGTGATAGTTTTCTATCTAGAACCACCCGTAGATCTCTCTCTTTATCAGACTTCTTTAAAGATTTCTCACATAATTTATAAGTTGTGTGGGGTCTTACGTTCTCCTATTCCACATTCCATAACATGGCATTTATTTACATTAAATTCCATTTGCCAAGTGGTGCTCCATATACTTATTTTGTCCAGGTCTTCTTGAAGGGCATGACAATCATCTAGGTGTCTTATCCTTCCTATTATCTTAGCATCATCAACAAACATGTTCATATAATTCTGTATTCCATCTGGTAGATCGTTTATATTGACAATGAACATTACCGGTGCAAGAACTGAACCCTGAGGTAATCCGCTTGTGACATTTCTCCAGTCCGGTACATTGCCTCTTATTACTGCCCTCATTTTTCTATCAGAAAATTTTTCATCCATGTTAGCAGCTTACCTATCACCCCTCCAATGTGTTCCAGATTCCAGAACAACCTCTTATGTGGAACCCTGTCGAAAGCCTTATTTAGGTCCAGATAGATGCAGTCAACCCAACCATCTCTGTCCTGTAAAATCTCTGTGGCTCGATCATAGAAACTGAGTAAATTTGTTACACAGGATCTTCCAGATCGAAAACCATACTCTGACGATCTGATATTATATCGTTTGTCTTTAGGTGTTCTACCCATTTAGTTTTAATTATTTAAAACTTAAAAATTTAAAACTTAAAAAAAGCGTAAAACTTAAATTTATAATTTATTTTTGATTATTTTCCAATATTTTGACTATTACACTTGTCAACGATACAGGTCTATAATTGAGGGGGTCTTCCCTGCTGCCACTTTTGTAGATTGGAACTATGTTAGCCTTTTTCCATGCGTCTGCTACGATTCCTGTACACAGGGATGCCTGAAAAATCAGGTGAAGTGGAATGCTGAGCTCAGATACACATTCTCTCAGAACCCATGGTGAAACTCCATTTGGGCCAACTGCTTTGTTCTTACTTAGCTCCTTGAGCATATTTTCCACTTCGTCTCTAAACACCTCTATGTGCTCTGTTGTTCTCTGGCATTCTTATTGTGTCTAGTTCTCTGACGATTCAATTTTGTACAAACACACTTTGGAACTTTTCGTTTAATGTTTCACACAATTATAATTACCTAAGTGTAGTTACAGGATGAGAGCTACGCTTGTGGTGTCCCGTCTTCCCAGCACTCTTTGTCATATAACGTGTGTGTGTGTGTGTATGTGTATTCACTTAGTTGTGCTTGCGGGGGTTGAGCTCTGGCTCTTTGGTCCCGTCTCTCAACCGTTAATCAACTGATGTACAGGTTCCTGAGCCTACTGGGCTCTATCATATCTACATCTGAAACTGTGTATAGAGTCAACCTCCACCACATCACTACTTAATGCATTTCATTTGTTAACTACTCTGACACTGAAAAAAATCTTTTTAACGTCTCTCTGGCTCATGTGGGTACTAAGTTTCCACCTGTGTCCCCTTGTTCGTGTTTCACCCGTGCTAAAGAGTTTGTCTTTGTCCACCCTGTCAATTCCCCTGAGAATTTTGTAGGTGGTTATCATGTCTCCACTTACTCCTCTGTTTTTCAGGGATGTGAGGTTCAGCTCCCTAAGCTTTTCCTCGTAGCTCGTACCTTTCAGTTCCGGGACTAGTCTGGTGGCGTACCTCTGAATCTGAAGCTGAATACCGGCAGACTCGTGTATGAGGCTGCCGGTGTGAGGCAGGTCTGGGACTGGTGGGTAAAGCTTGGCCAAGCACGCTTGGTCATTTCTGAGACCCGCAGTAAGCCCAAGGCTCAATAACTAGGTTACAAGAGCTGAACTTACGACACTGGGCCGCTGTGCACATCTCGAGGCGAGCGTGTACTTGCATGCCCAGATTAATTTGTTGTGCAAGGAGGAACATCAGGTGAAGGCAAGACATAGCTCGAGCTGGGAAATAAGAGAGAAGTTGTAGATGCACTGCAGGTTTTTGTGGTGGCCTCAACCCTTTGGCAGCGAGTGGTGGGTGTGGGTGGTGGCGGCAGGCCACTTTACCACCACCAACTTGCTCAGGTCACTTACCCATAATTTACCAGAGAACCACTGTCTCCAGTACTCCTGGGCATTTTCCAGCAGTATTTTGAACTGTAGTACTGTGTCGGCATTTATGATTAAAGCAGACAAGTAGATGGTTCCATGTGTACTCACCTAGTTGTGCTTGCCGGGGGGGGGGGGGGTTGAGCTTCGGCTCTTTGGTCCCGCCTCTCAACCGTATGTCTATGACCCTAAGGGCGAAAAAGCATATCCAATTTGGCTATTGTACACGGTGGCTTAAAGCTGTTGCCTCTTGTGTTGGAACTTTCAAAGATCATTGTGGTCAAGTTCTCTTCCACTAGCCCCCACAGAATGGGTGTGTGGTACGTAATGAAGGAGTGTATCCAGGCCGGCCGTTGGCTGTCGTGGTGCTGCTCCTTTCACACAACCCGACGACAAAAAATCGCCCGCGAACCCGCGCATTGGACCGGAAACCACACCCATTGCAATATTTAGGCTATACAGAGGCGACAGAAATGACCATGAAGAGAGGCGACCTCGGAGACTCTGGGCTTAACTACACAGTACAGTGCTGCTACTGTAATCTAAATGAAACATTACAGAGTACTATTTCAAGAGCTTGCTATGAAATCGCTTGGTGTCTTGAACAAATCCACATGGCCCTTGTGGATTTTTCATTTGATACATCACGTTAGTGTGATCTCTGTGTATGGCGCTTGGTGTTTTCTTTTAATAATTATATTCTAGCTATATGTTCACCTAATATCCTCATCTCAGAATGGTTGAGCATACAAAAGTTTTGCTGAGGTATAGGGATTGTGAGACACTTCATCCACTAGTCTGAGAACACTGTTGTTGTTGTTGTTATTATTATTGTTGTTCTTTACATAGTTGTATGCCATTTATGCAGCTGCCTTAGACTACTTGAAGAGTTACAGTTTATGCCAAGAGCTGATATGTGATACGAAAATCCCCTTCTAGCCTGATGGTTAGATATAGAGGGGCAAATTTTGGGTGGATTATGAGGATAACCTCAAGAACATGGGAGTGGCTAAAGTAATTACTAAAGGCCAAATATCTCATACTGATAGGTCTGAAGAGTTTATAATTAATGGTCATAGGGGTAAAGTACGGTTGTGTGAGATTATAACCCAGTTCCTACTCGTATAATTTTCACCAAAAAACTCTCACACCTCAACAAAGCCTATCTACACCAGAGAGTAGCTGAAGGTTCGCCCTTTGCAATATGGTATCTTCAGGCAACCAAATTAGAAAGGTTAAATATCCCAAAAGGAATCCACAGGGAAATAGCAGTTAGGTTATATAGACTACGTCTAGGTTACAGATGCAACTGAAAGATTGGCGAACCCCGACAGAGAGAGTGCATCTTCTGCCAAACTGTCACAGAAAAACCATTACTTCACTATCTTCTGGAATGTGAAGCAACCAACGACCTTAGAAGAGTCCCCGAATCTTGCAGTAATCACCCTGAAGCCATCAACACAGCCACTCTCCTGGTCAAAAAAGGTGTCCAGCAGCTGGACACCCTCATAAAGACTGTGAAGCAGTATCCTCCCCCGCGATAGCAGCTTGACGATTAAATGCGACCTCAGAACACTGAAAAGATTTACTGAACCAAAAATTGTACCACTTGCGGGCTATTCATGCCCGTGCCACCTCTTGGGTGGCTTAATCTTTATCAATCAATCAATCAATCGTATAATTTACACATGGAGTGCTCAGAGTTGGGCGTCACTTGCAGCCGCCTGCTACTAGTAACAGTAGCCAAACCTGATCCTGGCAATTACCATTTTGAAGTGGATGTTTTGTTCTACTCATATATATAGGTGTCAGGTCTCGCCATGGTCTGAATTTACCTGAAGGCCACCGTCTTTCTAGTGGCCTCTACGGGAACCGGAAGCTGGCGGCTTTTCAAAGGTTCCCTAGTTTTTCCTGAGGGGTTTTCTAACTGAATTTTGAAATGCAATAATGTCTTAGAATTTAGGGCATCGGCGGGTAGGCGGTTCAACGAGTTTATAATCCTGTGAATGAAAAGGCATCTCTTGTTTTGTGCCCCACATTGTTGTTTGTGGAGCTTGAAGCTGTTGCCCCCTTGTATGTGTTACATTCGATCTTGTAAGGAAGTGGTTGGTATATAGAAGAAAAAAACCTTTTGGCCAGGACAAAAACTTTAGAAAAATTATAAAGATATCTTCAACCACACGAGAATGAATATAGTAATTACCAAGTGCTTGATGACTGAGCCTTCAGTTATATAATGTTGGCGAGTGTGTTCCAGTTCCTTGTCGACGAAGTTCACGAGATCTGAGGACTGTGGGAGCAGTTAACTATCATTTATATAATATAATATATAATGCTATAGTACTCTTTGATTTCTCTCTCCTGTCAGACTGAGTTGAAGCGGTGAGAATGTAAACGCCGAGCACCATCACACACACACATTTTCTCTTGTATTAAATTCGTTCTTAGTTCGTCTGTGACTTTATTGTATATTTATCAACAGGTAAAGCACTAAATGAGAGGAAGGCCGAAGTGAGGATCCAGTACCGTCCTGTCGCCGGGGACATCTTTCATGGCCAGAGCAAGAGGAATGAGCTTGTTATCCGGGTTCAGCCAGGAGAGGCAATCTATATCAAGGTCAGTACAGGGGTTGACTGCAACAAAATCACTACAGGGGCTGTCTACAGCAAGGTCAGTGCAGGGACTGTCTACAGCAAGGTCAGTGCAGGGACTGTCTACAGCAAGGTCAGTGCAGGGACTGTCTACAGCAAGGTCAGTGCAGGGACTGTCTACAGCAAGGTCAGTGCAGGGGCTGTCAACAGCAAGGTCAGTGCAGGGGCTGTCTACAGCAAGGTCAGTGCAGGGGCTGTCTACAGCAAGATCAGTGCAGGGGCTGTCTACAGCAAGGTCAGTGCAGGGGCTGTCTACAGCAAGGTCAGTGCAGGGGCTGTCTACAGCAAGGTCAGTGCAGGGGCTGTCTATAGCAAGGTCAGTGCAGGGGCTGTCTATAGCAAGGTCAGTGCAGGGGCTGTCTACAGCAAGGTCAATGCAGGGGCTGTCTACAGCAAGGTCAGTGCAGGGGCTGTCTACAGCAAGGTCAGTGCAGGGGCTGTCTACAGCAAGGTCAGTGCAGGGGCTGTCTACAGCAAGGTCAATGCAGGGGCTGTCTACAGCAAGGTCAGTGCAGGGGCTGTCTACAGCAAGGTCAGTGCTGGGGCTGTCAACAGCAAGGTCAGTGCAGGGGCTGTCTACAGCAAGGTCAGTGCAGGGGCTGTCTACAGCAAGATCAGTGCAGGGGCTGTCTATAGCAAAGTCAGTGCAGGGGCTGTCTACAGCAAGGTCAGTGCAGGGGCTGTCTATAGCAAGGTCAGTGCAGGGGCTGTCTACAGCAAGGTCAATGCAGGGGCTGTCTACAGCAAGGTCAGTGCAGGGGCTGTCTACAGCAAGGTCAGTGCAGGGGCTGTCTACAGCAAGGTCAGTGCAGGGGCTGTCTACAGCAAGGTCAATGCAGGGGCTGTCTACAGCAAGGTCAGTGCAGGGGCTGTCTACAGCAAGGTCAGTGCTGGGGCTGTCTACAGCAAGGTCAGTGCTGGGGCTGTCTACAGCAAGGTCAGTGCAGGGGCTGTCTACAGCAAGGTCAGCGCAGGGGCTGTCTACAGCAAGGTCAGCGCAGGGGCTGTCTACAGCACGATCAGTACAGGGCCTGTCTACAGCAAGGTCAGTGCAGGGGCTGTCTACAGCAAGGTCAGTGCAGGGGCTGTCTACAGCAAGGTCAGTGCAGGGGCTGTTTACAGCAAGGTCAGTGTAGGGGCTGTTTACAGCAAGGCCAGTATTTAAATTTCTGTGCAGTATTATTACACTGTTACTGTTACTACTGTATTTTTGTCTGCTTCAGTTTGTCTTACAAGACAAGTGAGTACTTTTTTTTACTAAAGTGTCAATTTTAGGTGATGACTAAAACCCCTGGAATGGCATTTGGACTAGAGGAAACGGAGCTCGACCTAACGTATGGTGAACGCTACAAGGGTGCCAAGCTGCCTGATGCATATGAGAGACTCATACTTGATGTTTTTTGTGGATCACAAATGCATTTTGTCAGGTAATATAACCTAATATGTTTTAGACTGATAATATATAATTTGATGTGCTAGTGTAAACTGTAAATGCAGTAATTGTTGAAAACTGATTGGTTATCTGGGAATCTGTGAAAAGCTTGCTAGTGCTCTCAATTGATGGTACAGTATGCACACCTGCACATACAAATTCCAGAATATATTGATCCACATATATCAGTTACCAACACATTCCACCACTTATCCACAGAAGTGCCCCACTGCTTCATAAGATCAGATGCAGTGTGTTCCTTGTGAATTTTGACATACAGTACAACTATATTCACTTATTCTGAACAAATTGCTTCCACTTCCACGCCCCATAACATACTCATACATTACACACAGAGATCACACTAACGTGATGCATTAAATGAACAAATCCACAAGTTGAAAACTTCGGTTTCAACTCTTTTTAACCCTGTCGTAGCTCAGTCGATTAAGGCAGTGTCTGGGATGCTCCCGGACATAACACATCTCTACATAACCTCATATTGTATATACAATTTATAAAACTATAAATATTGTGCTTTATTCCTTATATTTTACAATATTGAATGCCCACAGGAGTGATGAACTGGCTGAGGCATGGAGAATCTTTACTCCTTTGCTTCACAAAATAGAAGAGGAGAAAACTCAACCCATTCCCTACCAGTATGGCTCAAGAGGACCAATTGAAGCAGATCAAAAACTAGCTGAAAACAATTTTGTATACTCTGGATCATACAAATGGACCAAGAATAGTCAGCTATAAATTGGGAGAAGGTAAAAGGTATGAGATTTAGTACAGTATCATAAAATTTACATTGGTAGAAAATGAGGTACAGTGCAACCTCATTGCACTGAATTGTATTCAGTGAAATATTCAGTGAAAATAATTCAGTGAATTATTTGAGTCCAACCCTGATTTGTTGCAGCCAGGGATTCATTGCACTCGAGGAAGCCTTCAGCAGGTTATTTATTTTTTTATTATAAAACACAAGAAAAAATACTTTTCTATTATAATATACCTACAGTAATACTAATCTGCTACACAGTTCATTATAATTTTACTTACCTTAGCAATGGAGTAGGTTTTGCTTGAATTGTTTTAAATGATGAATACTGTATTGTGGGCACAGAATTATTTGGAAGAATTTTGCAGTACAGTTCTGTACAGTATTGACTGTGCAGCACTACAATAAAGTATAAACTACTGTACACTAAAATCACTGAAACTGTAATACTCACAGAAATCACAATAGCATAATATATCAAATTAAAAGTTTATGAAACTTTTATATAAGAACTTTTATAAGGGCTGTGATATATCATCAAGGCCCTTGTGGATTTGTTCACCGAAACTTTACTTTTAAAATAAACAAAGTGTCTCTTTGAACCACAAATGCATCTGTTGACCGTCCCCAGGATTCAACCCACAATAATGGTCTAACTCCTAGGCTAGGTACACAGGCATCAGGTGAAAGGAAACATTGCCAACAAGCTCTTCCAGCTGTGGGAATTGAACCCGGGACTTCTCACCCGTAACCCGAATGCATTCTTCCTTTACATAACTAGGGATATTTTAGGAGCTTTATACTTTTTTTTAACTTTCTTTTAAAATGGTACCTTTTTCTAGTATTTAACCAAATATTTCATATTAAAATCTTGCCGAATATAATATCCTAAAATGGCTTTCTTGTATCTAACAGGAACACTGCTCTCAAGTCCACAGTGAGAACAATATCATCTCAAGCAGTGAGAACTGTCTGTGCCGCGTTCTGGACTCTTCCACCCTCAGCCATTTGTCTCAAATTTATTTTATTGCTTAGAATACTGTATTTATTGGTATTAATGCATTCATGCTGAACAATATTTATTCACGTTGGCTTAGATATGTATATCATTTGTTGATGATAATGCACAGTATTATAATTGGAAATTTTTGTATAGTACAGTATTAGTATTGTATTACTGTATACAATAAAATTGTACAATATTATTGTACAAAATTATTGTACAGTACAGTATCAGTATTGTATTACTGTATACAATAAAATTGTACAATATTATAAAGTGAAGAGATGTGAAGGCCAAAATTGTTTTTAGTAAATGGTTGTAATGTGAAGTAACATTCATGTGGTTCATATTATTGAAATTCATATTTAAAGGATTTTTCATTATAATCGCTGGGCCGTAAGAGGTAACATTGTCCTACGCTGTTATGTTCTTTCTTAATCCATTTGCAGCATGGAAAGTACAGTACAGTATTGTGTGTTTTATGGGCATTTGATTGTAAATGCAGGTTCCCACTGAGTGTTATGTATATTCTCTTAAATGATCACAATTGGTTAATATATGGCAGTTAAAGGATTTCACATTTTTTAAAAATATAAGTGATATATTCGCTCAAGACTCGGTATAAAGCATTTGCTGCTGCTGCTGCTGCTGCTGAGAATGACAGCAATAGAAAATGGAAAACACTATTCATTTAAATTAAACATAAAACAGCATGCACCTAACAAACTGAATATTAAAAAGATCACAAAACTATTAGTAAAACCATTGACCATACTTTTTAACATCACTCAAAATGGGAATAACTTTGCACCTAATCATAATGCAAACATTGATTTAAATTAGTCTTATGACTTTAATCCAGTGAAGTACATTACAAACATGTAATTTAAATGAGTGGTAAATAGATAACCATAAGACATAATTCAGAACAATACTGAACACTATACATTGAGCAAACACATTGTTCGGAACTTTTTTAACTTTGCAATTTATATTAATTGTCGCTTACAATGAATGTACTGCCATATTATATACTGTATATGTAGGCCATCCTTGAACAAGCATCTTTTTGTATGTCAACCATTGAGTCATTTCTATTGAATTTCTTTGTGAAGAAATGAAGCTCACATTCGAGCAGTACTGCATTGAGTAGACCCAAGGGCAAGTGCAATCAGTTAAAGTAAAGTCACTGCCTGCATCCCTCTACTATTATAGCAAACTATCACTTTTTTTTTTCCTTTTTTTTTTTTTTTTTTTAGTAAAGTGAATGGCTAGACACTTTAGCCTTTTCAAATTAAAAAATATATACTGCATTTGTGATTTGTTTCACATGAAACTGCAAAATGATTGTTTCACATTATATACAATTTGTGGGCTGACAGTGGTGACAGTTTCTGGGGGAATCCCTGTGTGCTTCCTGCAGCTAACAGACTGATATCCATTATATTAGTCTGTTTGCTGCAGGGAGCCTCCAGGCCCCCAATGCAGAAAATGGCATTTCATTACATTCAATGCTGGCTTTTTATATTCCACTGCATTTTGGGCATAAAGTGAACACATACAGAAGGACAGGGGAAGTTAATGTGATGGTCAAAGCTCGTTGAGAATATGGTTCTTGTATAGAACTTTTCATAAATCGTTTGTGCAAAGGTACTTCTTTAGGGCTTTAACTGGATCAAAAGTAGATGTACATAAAAGTGACATGTACAAAAGTTTGCCTTAAAGTTTTACATTTATGCAATTCTTTAAAACTTTCCATGCAAATAGAATGTGATAAATTTGTTATTGTGTAGCAATAGATTTTAATGTTGTGATTAAAAATCACATAAAGGAAATAACATTTTTATTGTATGTATGAAAATTAGTCAGTTGATCTGATTAATTTTATGAAAAGTTTGATAAATAGCTTCTTGTATTTTTCTGATCAAACTCAAATTTTAGTTTAGTAATCACACTCATTCCTCATTTGGTCTTTTAATAATGTTATCTCCATGGTTTAGGTGTGTACAATGTGGTGCACAATAAATTATTAAGTCCTAGAGGAAATTTAATTTCTTAAAATTGTGTTCTGTGATCCTCCTTACCCAATGTTGTACAGAAATACAGTAGTCTATTTGAACTGTTACTCTTATCCAACTTATATGCTTGAGATATAAAATCAAGCATACAAGTTTTGTGAAATCTGCTGACCTGGGTTGTGGTGTAATATTAAATTGGCATGTACACCTAAAATTTTATTTGCAAGGGTTGCTCTTAGAGGTGCTTATCTTTGTTAATCTTTTGTTACTTGTATTCCTACCTGTATATTCCTATTTTCCTAAAAAGTGGTTTAGATTTGTTTCATTTACGAATTACTGTAACAGGATTGTCTTAAACTAGATTGTGATACTGTAACTCGGCATTCCTTTATAGTAAGAATAATTTTGTACTTTTGTATCTTTTGTATCAGATCATTTTATACTTTAAACAATATTTGGTATAATAGTGCAAGGTAGAATGCAGAAGACGTAGTATTTCATAAGTAAGAAATATAGCACTCCAAGTTTAGCATCATTAGGAAATGGAGGCCATACCTTTTTTTTCTTTCTAATCATCTCTGCTCACAAGAGAATTGTCAAATGTTAATTTCTTTAGAACTGATCGGTAACTACAATAAAAGGTGTCTTTATATTTTACATTTAATATTAAAGTTTTAATTTCCTTTCTGAATTCATTATAAATAAAACAATGAATGTACATTAATTGGTTTTGCCCCTGTAGTACGGTATTGCTTTTTTTTTTTTTTTTTTTTTTTTAAATGTTTTGCAGAGATATTCCTGCACGGGCCCTAAGTCTCTGGCTGGCCCACTAAGTGTTGCTTGTTTCTATTTTACTTGGGCGGAGTATGAGTATTTATGACTCGTATGGTTGCTTCAGTAAGATTTTGTCTCGCGTGTTTAACAACTTCTGCTCTGTTGAATCTAAGTTGAAATCTTAATGGGTTTGTAATTCTGCACTGTGTTAAATAATGTTCCAGTGGTCTGTCGGGCATTTCTCCACAGTGTTGACATTTCCTCTCATCTTCTGGAACCTGTAAGCCTATTTCCCATGCACATGGGTATCCAAGCCTGATGCGATATAAGTATACTTCTGTTGTTCTACTGCTCCCTTTCATGAAACTAAGTGGTTCGTAGTTGGTTGAATTCTTGGACTAACCTGCAGATCCTGATGTTGTAACTGCTACATTGTAGTCACTGTACATCTTTTGCACTGCTCTGTTTCTAATTACTTTCTTAATCTGTGATAGACTCTGTGGTATGTAAATGTCTACATTTCTTCTCTTGGTTGCAAGTTTTGCAGCTTCGTCTGCAATGTCATTTCCTATTATTTCCACATGACTTGGCACCCAGTTGATAAGTATCCGTCAGCCTTGTCGTTTGAGTGTTTGCATTAATGATATGACATTTGTGATCAGATGGATGTTATCACATATGTGTTCTTGTTGCAAGGTTTCAGTGGCAGTTCTCGAATCTGTATGTATGATAACATGTTGTCAGTGTTCAGCAAGAGCATGTTCCAAAGCCTTTCGACTGGTATTTCTGATCTTGTGTAGGGGACTTTCCAGTGCTGAACAGTACAGTTTAATTTAAATTATTGGATAATCAGATTCTACAAATAAGAATAATTATGCGATGCATTTCTAAATTATTATTTAACATAAAAAATATATATTATAATGTACAAAAATCTTTATTTTCTTTAGAGCATGAAATTAGTTAAAACATCAATAAAAATGTTAACAATTCTAACAAACATTAAAATAATAATTGTCCATATTCTATAGCCTTTAAAATGGTTAAAGGTTATTAAGCAGAACTTATTACAACATATAACATAAGTACAGTACAGGTAAAGCACTTAAAGTAATTAGAAAAAGGAAACAAACCAAAATATGTACAGTGTACATATATAATTTATTTTTGTTAGATAAGATATTTATTCAGGTTAAGGTGCATACATTGAAAATGAGTTACAAACATAATGTCAGATTAATAGATAGAGCTGGTACATACAGTACCTGAAGCCACTAATATGCACAGCATTTTGGGTAAGGTGTGGAAAAAACTTATACTAAAACTTAATACTAATTGAGATCAAAAGCTTAAATTGAATTGAAAAAAGGGAAAAGAAAAAGAAAATGATAATAATTACACATAAATAAATTATGTTATTTATATATACAGTACAAGAGTTCTTACATTCTTGTATAGCCACTAGCATTGCATAGCATTTTGGGCAGGTCCTTAATCTTATTTTCCTATATAATTATATATAATATAATTATGTGATCTACATTATCCAAATGATGTGCCACTATGGAACATGTTCACAATACAGTTGTAGCAAATATATTATGTCAATAATATACTCGCTCCAAGCTCTTATTAGCTTAATGAGGTGGGTTTGTTAAGTCTATGTAATCCACTAAATACAGTTAATACCTCTTCCCAAATATACAGTTAATACCTTTTTTTCCTAACCTGCTAGAAAATGGTGAGGTTAGGTGTGGACCGATTATATAAGCAGCCGATGGCAAATAATCAGGTTTACGGGCTATTCATGCCCGTGCCACCTCCTGGTTGGCTTAATCTTAATCAATCAATCAATAATTAGGTCCACCACTTACGGGCTATTCATACCCGTGCCACCTCTTTGGTGACTTAATCTATATCAATCAATAATCAGCAGTTTACTTTCAATACAGACGCTTGAGAGATACCGCATATCTTGAACCTCACCAACAACAATGTAGCACTCTGCGTGCCTAGTTCCTACCGACTCCAAGAGACTTCAGCTTTGACACAGAACAGACAGCCAGACTCTGGCTGTGTCAAACTTCCACGCTCTTGTCCCGCACTAAGCTCCTTAACTACACTCACATTCAGAGTGCCACGCTCTACAACTCTCACCTTGTATCCGAGCTCTCTACCTCTGGCCTCACTCAGCTCTCTCCTCTGCGCCAAGTTTCGTCTCAACTTCTATGACACTGCCAACAAACCGACTGCTGTAACCAAGACTACTAAATAAATATGAAAAACCACTAAACTCTGTGTATCTAATCAACCAAACAATGTAACTTAATCGTATGTTACACAGTACTGTGTCATGCACTGTATCACTATACAAACTGCACTGTACATCCATTGCCTGTACATATACAGTATGATGTAAATAATTTTCAATAACATATCCCTGTGGTGTAGTGGTTAAGACGCTCACCTGGCGTTTCGCGAGCGCTTTGTCCTGGGTTTGTTTCCTGGCCGGGGAGGATTTACTGGATGCAAATCCTTAACTGTAGCCCCTGTTTAACTCAACAGTAAAATGGGTACCTGGTTGTTAAACGATTTTTCGTGGGGTCCTATTCCAGGGAACATAGGATTAAGGACTTGCCCGAAACGCTATGCGTATTAGTGGCTGTACAATTAAGTATGTAAGAACTCTTGTATATATAAGTAAAAAAAAAAAAACTGATTCTGTACTTCAGCATTAAAATATAGCTTAAAAATAGAAAAATAGCATTCCACATGTACAAATTTACCTTCTTTTATATTATTAAAGAAAGTGTTTTGACAATGTTGTTACTTGGGATTAGAATTTTCCATTTCTAGCAACTTTTTGGTTTCCAGTTAGGTTTATGAAGATCCCCCTAGGCCAACACTGATATTTGTCAGGATGCAATTCTCAAAAGTTACTTGACTCCTGGATGTCCGTTGTACTGCTTGGTGAGCAGAGGCATTGGGTGAAAGGCAACATGCCTAAAATGTCTGTCCTGATGAACGAATCATACCCAGGGCCTAATTTTGGCTGTGAACCAACTGTGCCTATCATTGTTTTCAATAAAATGGATTTGTTGAAGAGAGCACAAGGTGCTAATGGCGTTGAAGAGAAACAGCATGAGAGTAGACTTCACTTGCAGACATGTAATATTTTGCCTGTAAGAGCTTTCCTACATCTAACATAATCCTTCGTGTCTCTGACCTCGATGCATCTTCACCTCCCTGACCTCACCTCTCCTTATGGTTCCACATTTCTGAGCAGTAGGCTTGTGAATTCCTGTTACATTTGATTAAACAATTCCAGGAGATATATTTTCTGCAAAGAGTTTCATCTAGGTGTTTGCCTACAATAAAATGTGTTGAAATTAATATTATCTCATGACTGGTATTTTCACCCTTTCCCTAATTGTTAAACACACAGATGAGATGCATTTTGTCAACACATAATGAATATTAGACTTTTTGTGCTTTGTAAGTACATGTATACTTACATAAAACTCATTATTTGTTGAGACCAATAAAATTTAATATATTTATATAATTTCTATATTTTGATGTTTTATACTATATTATTCAATTGTATTTATTTTAATAAAATATATAAATGAATTATGATATACTGGTTTTAGTGATCCATGAGGATAACCAGACAAGGTAGTGATGATAAACAAGGTAACAATAACAGCAAGTGTATTTTTTGTATTGTACAAGCTAGAGCAAACATTAGAGGCAACACCTGTGACAAGCAACACGGACACTGTGAGGCAATTTAGTTAGTAAACAATGGATGCAGCATGGAGGAGAAAATGCTATTATCTGCAGAGGACACATTTTGGAAGACAGGATATAAGTACCGTTTAGGGAGCCAGTGGCTGAGCAGACAGAACACTGGACGCGTGATCCTGTGGTCCCGGGTTCGATCCCGGGCTGCAGCGAGAAACAATGGGCCGAGTTTCTTTCACCCTGATGCCCCTGTTACCTAGCAGTAAATAGGTACCTGGGAGTTAGTCAGCTGTCACAGGCTGCTTCCTGTGGGTGGAGGCCTGGTCGAGTACCGGGCCGCGGGGACACTAAGTCCTGAAATCATCTCAAGATAACTGTATATTATCTGGAATTACCTCAGGACCATTAACACACTAATGGCCTCAACGAGGACAGTCAGCTGGTGACTTGTCAAAGGTAGCTTCCCCCATTTGAACTGGGCCCCTTGATTTGTAGAGCAATGAAGCTTTTGAGATCAGGATTGGCATTACAGTTTAGCGTTTTATATATGTATAATACACATGAGAGAATGTGCAGTGACTTAATGTCTAACATATTCAGAGATTTGAGTAGGGGTACCGAGTGATGTCTGGGGCCAGAATTGGATATTGTCCTAATAGCAGCTTTGTGTTGAGTAATTAGAGGACGTAAGTGATTTTGGGTAGTAGAGCCCCAAGCACAAATACCATAGTTGAGATATGGATAGATAAGGGAGTAATAGAGAGTCACCAGGGCAGGGCGTGGTACATAATATCTGATCTTAGAAAGAATGCCCACAGTTTTTGAAACTTTTTTTGTTATGTTTAGAATGTGTCCCTGGAAATTCAGCTTGTGGTCAATGAGAATGCCAAGGAATTTGCCATCTAATTTGTTACAAATTTGGGTATTGTTTATTTTGAGATTTATTTGATTAGAGGATTTATTGCCAAACAGAATATATAAAGTTTTGTCAATGTTAAGGGTGAGTTTGTTGGCAGTTAGCCACAGATGGACTTTATTTAGCTCAGTATTTACTGTGGCATTTAGAGCAAGGGGATCAGGACTGGAGTAAATGAAGGTTGTGTCGTCAGCAAATAGGATTGGTTTGAGGTGTTGGGAGGCATT